TAGTTCAAAGAAGAACAAAGCAAACAAAGTTGCGGCATACGCAAGTCGATACGGCAATCGTTACTGAAGTTGTAGCAGGGAGGCAGTGCAAAGTTGTCAACACAAATAGATTGGTTGAAGAAAAGGAAAGAAGTAGAGAAGGGGCAGGAAGCAGAGCGAAGAAAAGAAGATTCGCGAAGCATTTTGAATCGAACGGACGTTTTCGAGGGAGAAAAAAAAAAGAAGGTTGAACAGAGGTAAGAGGACAGGTCCTCATGGTTACGGAGTTTCAAGAGAAGATGAATAAAGTAAAGTTAAACTCACTTAAAGTGGAGCAATTAAATAAATTGTTGCAAAGCCAAAATATTCGCGCTGTCGGCAATAAGGCGCACAAACTGGCAAAGCTGGCTGAAATTTACGATGGAGACGAAGTCGACGTGGAAGAATTGGAAGTCGATGGTGAGGCAGCAAGTGCCCAACAACAGATAGAAGAACTACGTGGGGCTATTCTAGATTTAACGAGGACTGTGGGTGAACTAGTGACGTCCCGCAGAAATGTAGGTGCAGAGACAACAAGCGAAGTGCAACAACCGACCACATGTCTACCAACTCCAGCGAATGGAGACGGAGTGCCAACAATAACAGCAGGAACAACCCAAACGTTGCAGATTCGACCTAATAGCCGACGCGAAATTTATGCTCTCATGCCGGAGTACGATCCGTTGAAGAATAACTTAAGCAGTGAAGTGTTCATCGAAAAGGTAACACAGTTACGCCGGGCATACGAGTTGACAGAGCAAGAGACTCTAGTAGCAGCGCAATCTAAGCTAAAAGGTGTCGCCAAGGAATGGCTAGATTCGCAAGAGGTTTTCCAATCGTGGTTGGATTTTGTTCAAGCGTTTGAGCATGATTTCCCAGCATCAATGACGTCAGCAGAGGTGCACCGCAATATGTCACAACGGAAACGACAATCGCGTGAAACATTTGAAGAATACTATTATGTGATGTTGAGTATGGGTCGACGAGGTAAGATGGACGAGGAGTCAATTAATGCATACATCATATCAGGCTTGAACGATGCAATGTTATCACGCACACTACTAGCCCTTAAGTTACCAACATGCAATGACTTACTCCGCTCACAGAAGGGTATGATCGTCGGTCCGACGGAGCCGAGGGTAAGCTCAAGTGACGAAAAGAATACCAGCGACACAGGTTCAAGAGCGACGATGGATAGGAAGCCAATGAAGTGCTTCAACTGTAACCAATATGGGCATATCGCGGCAAAATGCCCACAACCGCAACGGAAGCCCAAATGCAGCAAGTGCAATAAGATGGGGCATGAAGCTCAAGCATGCCGAAGTGAAAGACCAACGGTCGCAAACATAGTGGAGGACTCCAAGCAAACAACCAATGCAGCCAGTAAAGATGTTGTATGGAACGGCAAGACGTTTAGAGGGTTTATCGACACTGGTAGTGATGTTTCGCTTATCGCAGCATCAAAAGTTCCTGAAGAGGCGACACGGACATCTTCTATCAAGCAACTCGAAGGCTTTGGCGGGGCAGTCATAGCCAGCACAGCGGTCGTCGATGCAGAGTTAGTCGTCGATGGAGCTACGATATTGACCCCGTGTTATATCGTCCCAGATGAGGTTATGCATTATGATATAGTTATTGGTAGAGATGTACTATGCAAAGGAAATTGTAGATTAACCATCGAGTCAGGCGTAATGCAAGTGCATCAGCGAAGTGAATTACCTTTCATAATCAACGAAGATCTGGACGAAGCAGACAGTCAAGGAACGAGAACCATGCTACAGCAATACGGTAGTTGCTTCTCGGAGAGTTTGACTGAAATAGGACGATGTAAGACAACGCAGATGGAGATCCTCGTGACCACAGACCAACCGGTAATGGGAAGGCAATACCAGGTTCCGCTTTATCAACGTCCAGTACTAGCAAAGATTATCAGCGATCTACTGGATAATGGCATTATTAGACCAAGTTCATCACCACACGCGGCACCCGTTATTATCGTGAAGAAGTCCAACGGAGAAGATAGGATGTGTGTGGATTACCGTGCTCTTAACGCGGTAACGATGAAGAAACACTTCCCTATGCCTATTGTTGAAGAACAATTAGCAAAACTGGTAGGAAACATGGTCTTCACTACGCTGGACATGACAGCAGGATACTACCAGATTCCGGTGAAGGAAGAAAGCAAGCCATACACAGCGTTCTTGACACCAGAGGGCTTATTTGAGCATAATGTGATGCCATTTGGCCTACGCAACGCTCCAATGGTGTTCCAAGAAATGATTACAAAGATGATAAGAGGTTTAAAGCATCGCGATAAGATTGTGAGCTATGTAGACGAAGTCATAATCGCAACGAAGACGGTGGAACAAAACATTCAGGTGGTGTCCGAGTTTTTGCAAGCGGTTAAAGAATCCGGTCTTACATTACGGCCGTCGAAATGCAACTTTCTGGCAACTAGGATCCAGTTCTTGGGACATATCGTGAGTGCAGATGGTGTGCAGCCCGGGGAAGGGAAAACAAAAAGCATCAGAGACTTTCCACGACCACGATCAACGACCGAAGTAAGGCAGTTCCTGGGGTTAACCGGATACTTCCGGAAATTCGTCGAAGGCTACGGTCTCATAGCCAAGCCACTGGCCACATTGTTGAAGAAAAACGCAAAGTTCGAGTGGTCGGAAGATCAAGAACAATCGTTCGCAAGATTAAAGGAAGTTTTAACTACGCAACCAGTTCTGGTCATGTTCGATCCAGCGAAGCAGCACGAGGTACACACCGATGCAAGTTCGGTGGGAATATCAGGAGTCTTGCTACAGCTCGAGAAGGAAGGTTGGAAGCCGGCGCAGTACTACAGTCGGCAGTGCAGCTCAGCCGAATCACGATATGCAAGCCATGAATTGGAGGTACTGGCAATTGTGGAGTCACTGGAAAGGTTCAGGGTCTACCTTCTGGGCACGACGTTTGTGGTACGAACCGATTGTAACGCCGTAGTTACAACGAAGAAGGTCACGCCACTGCGACCACGAATAGCAAGATGGTGGCTACGCTTGCAGGAGTTTGATTTCTCATGCGAACACCGACCGGGTGTCAACATGCAGCACGTTGATGCCATGAGCAGACTACCAGTCGAATCACCAGTACAGCCGGATACAGTTGCAGACAAGGTTCTAGCTGTCAGTAAGGTCATGGAGCCCGAGGACTGGGTGACAACCATACAACGTAAAGACGAGAAAATCAGACGACTGTGTGCGATCCTTAATGGGGAAGAAGCTGTAGATAACGATGTGATGAAGCAGGTTAAAGCGGACTACGAGCTAAGGAATAAGCGACTCTTCCGGACGATTGATGGACAATACAAACTTGTTGTACCCCAAGGAGTCAGATGGCGAGTGACAAAAGCAAGTCACGACGATGCAGGACACTTCGCGTTGGAGAAAACTCTAGAACGCTTGAGAACACATTTTTGGTTCCCAAGAATGCGCCGTTACGTGAAATCATACATCGGAGCCTGTGAGGAGTGCTGTCTAAATAAGGTGAAGGGAGGTAAAAAGGAGAGTCAATTACATGTGGCAAGCGTCTTGCCGATTCCATTCAGGCATATCTACATCGACCATGTGGGTCCGTTTCCCAGAAGTAAAACTGGAAATGTTTACATCCTGGTTATGGTTTGCGGGTTTAGTAAGTATGTGATGCTGAAAGCAGCCAGGAACACCAAGAGTCAGCCCGTCATCAAAGCGATGGAAGAGATGATGTCGATCTTCGGACAACCCTTGCGCGTCACGTCAGACCGTGGCACGGCTTTCACCTCAAAGCAATTCGAGGCATTTATGGAACGACGAGGTATTCAGCACGTGAAGACAGCGGTACGAACTCCGAGAGCTAACGGGCAAGCGGAACGCGTTGTTAAGACTGTAACGAATGCCTTAAGATGCATGGTTGAAGATAATAAACGATGGGACGAATGCCTAACAACAATCCAATGGAGCCTAAACTCACAAAAGAACGAGGTAACTAAATACACGCCTAATGAGCTGATATTCTTCTTCAATCCCAGAGATGTAACGTATAACCGAATGGTCCAAGCCATCCAGGATGAACCTGTCCACGTATTCGATATGGAGGAGAAGCAAACCGATGCAGCATCTAACATCCAAACCGAACGGAATAAGTGGAAAGAACGCTACGATAAACGGCATCAGACGCCGCGTAAGTACGAGGTTGGAGATTTGGTTGTGGTGGATTACGTTCCAAGCGCCACGGGTGAATCTCACAAGCTGGATCCTGTGTACAAGGGTCCATACCAGGTGACCAAAGTACTGAACTACGACAGGTATATCATCGAGGACTTGCCCGATACCACGGTGACACAGCGTCGCTATTGTAATGTCTTGTCAGTGGATCACCTGAAGCCATGGTGTGCCACTAGCCCTGAGCTGGACATCAAAGATGATGAAAGTGACTCGTCCTGGAACGACGAGATGTCAGGAGAGGCCGAGCTGTCACAGTCGGTAAACGAGGAGAGTGTTAAACGAACAGCGAACGAGGACACACGTACGAGAGCAAGGCGTACACTGAAATAAGATCTTTTACTTTACATCATTTAAACATTCATTATTATATTTTATTGTTTCCATTCGACTAAACATATTTGTTAATTTCAATAAACTGGCATTTATTCGTTGTGAATCAACCACTTGGTGTTCTGGCCTTTACACATATATATGCCTAGATCATCTAGATGTTATATTATTGGTTATGGTTTCAGATAATAATAATTTGACGCACAGCTATTATACTTTACAGAGAAATTACAGGAAATTTGTTTGGTGGAACGCTTTTCGAACTGAACCCTGTAAAACCTGCAAGTCGTACTGCTGCTGGAACGCAGCTAGTATGACAAAGGTTTAATGTATAGAAACGGTATCAGGTACCGAAAAGAAAGTATTGGGCACCGAAATTTTTTTCAAGTATTGAGTACCGAGTATCCGGTACCGAAAATTCCGCACATCACTATAGGTTATTCACCACGGCAGATAAACTATTGTTCAAAATAGTAAATAAATGAAAGTAAATTTTAACAGAATAAAATGAATAATGGTGCATCGTATAGTATTCACACTATTTGCCGAATTTGTTTGGAGCTGTTGCAGAATGAGAGTGTCTACGACATATTTGCTATACCAGGATTGGCCAAAACGTTGAGTTCGTGCACCAAACTCTCGGTGGAGCCCCATGACGGATTTCCTCGTAATATTTGTGGAGTTTGTCATACGCGTCTAATGGATATGCAACATTTTCAAAAGCTGTGTGTAGAGTCAGTGCAAAAGTTTCAAGAACTGGTGTCCAAAAATTTAATAACAGATCATGACAGCGTGCTGGCTGTGCTAGAGACGGCTGCTGTAGGCGCTCAAAATGAGGTTGTAGATGAAGATGAGCCAATAGATTTCGACCCACTTTTAAATAATAAGCTGGAAATGATTGAAAACGAAGATGATGTCTTTAAAATGCTGGAAAATGTGGACAAAGAAGTCGGGGATAGTTCAGTAGATGTGAAACGAACCGAGCCTGTTAAAAGTGATAAGACATCTGATCACAAATGTTTGCCTAATGATTTTGATGATCACGACAGCGATTGTTCTAATTTTGTGACTATGGACATTGGGGAAACATCAATCAGAAGTAGTGAAAGTGAAGACAAACAACCATTGGCGGCCCGTTTACGAAAGTCTCGCCGTTCAAAAAGGGCCCTACGAAAAGAAGATATAATCGACGACGGACTAGATGCAGATGAATATGACGAAGGAATCAAAAAGAAAAAGTTGGCACAGAAACGTCAACCGCGGGTAAACGGTGAAGACGCTTCTGTGAATACAATAGAATGTCATATTTGCCAAAAGAAGTTTAGAAAGCCTGAACGTTATGAGGAGCATATGCGGCACCACAACGATAAGTTGCCGCACCAATGCTCGGTTGGTTCTTGCCTCAAAGGATTTACAACTGCTAACGGACTTCGGTTGCATATGGAGCATTGTCATGCTGAAACATGTGAAAGCTATCCATGTCCTGAAGAAGGCTGTGGTCGCACATTCCCTCGAACTCGCTTACTTAACTGGCATTTACGCAAAGTACATAAAATTGCTAAAGAGCTCCGAGAACCGAAATGTTATACCTGTAGCCAATGCGATAAAGTGTTCCGTTGTCCCATGGCGCTTAAAAAACATATGTACAAGCACGATGGTAAGGAGTTACCTTTCCCTTGTAACATATGCGGGAAACGTTTTGTTATTAATAGCGCACTTAAAGATCATCTAATGAGGCATGCAGGAATTAAAAACTACGTTTGTCCTTATTGCGGGGTTGGTAAAACAACTCGGCAGGAGTGGAATACACATATAAATACGCACACTCAAGAGAAAAAATTCCATTGCCCACAATGCACTTATGCCTCACATAACAAACAAAATTTGCGCATGCATGTAAAGATTGTTCACGAAAAGATTAAGGACTATGCATGCCAATACTGTGGCAAAACATTTGGAAAATCTAACGCTTGCAAAATGCATGAAATGACACATACAGGCGAAAAACGATGTGAGTGCAAGGTCTGTGGTAAACGGTTTCTCTATGCCAAAGCTTTGACAAAGCACTTGAAGACACATGAAAAGCGGGTATTACGAGCTATTGAGGTGTACCGTAAGCGACAGATTGAAAATGGTTTCATGTCGGCCGATACACCGGATATACCAATACCTGAGTTGCCTTCCACAGAGACACATACACAAGAAGCACACCAAAAAGTGGCTGAAGAGATACTTAAAGTTTGTGCAGAGTCAACAGCCTCAATACCTAGAAATCCTCGACGCGTTGAACGTGTTGACATATCTGAACTTGCAGGCACTGCAGTCAACCCTATACCCTCAGTGGCCGTACCTTCTTGGTGCCCACAAATAAATTTTATGATGAAAGAGGGTCCTTATATCTGTCCTGATTGCGGTCAGGGATTTAATGGTCAAGGAAACCTTAAACGGCATCATCGTATCGTACATGAAGGAGTTAAAGACTTTGCTTGTCGCTTTTGTCACAAACGTTTCGCTAAAGCACAAACACTAAAACATCATGAGATGACACACACCGGTGAAAAGCCACATGAGTGCAGCAATTGTGGAAAGCGCTTTATTCAATACGTCGCATTAAAACGTCATATGAAGATACATATGAATAAACCACCACCCATCATACCACCAAGTGTTTACGAAGCACGGGAGGAGCTAGAATTGCAGGAGCGCGAAAAACTGGAAACAAAACGTAAAAAACAAGAAGCACGTGCCGCTATCGCTGAGTTAGCTCGAGAACAACTCGATGAAATGGAACATCAAGAGCCTGAGGTTAAGGAAGACTTGCAACAACTGACAATAATGGAAAATCAAGAATTCATAAAAATTGATCCAATGACAGAAATAGAGGCGAATACAGAGCTAAATGGCGAATTAGGAGAATTTCCACATATAAATACCAGCACCATGGGCACATGAACATAATACGAGATTTATTGATGTAGTATAAAAAACTACTCTACATTTTAAATAAGAAATGAAAGCGATCTATTCGCTTGTCTGGCAGACTTTAATTGGAATTAGTGTTTCTAGTTTTTGATAAAATTTATATGTATGAATCATGATAAAAACATATACTATACTATACTATATTTTTATCATGGTATGAATGAATGTATTTTATTTACCGTCAGAAAGTTAATTTTTTGTGCCAATTGGTTTAGTTAAAATGTTTTTGTATGTTTGTTTATGTATATAGATATCTTATATAGCCACTTAAAGTGCCGTATGTCTTACGCTTTAAACATATGATAATTTAAAATATAAAATGTACATATGTATACATATGGATTTATTGATTTACTAAAATACAGTTTTGTTAAGGGGTTTCCTGAGGTCATATTTACATGTGAAAAAAGAAACAGATCTTGTCCAAATCCATCTTACCGCTGATATGACCTAAATTATGTAAATTGAACGCTTTATTTTTTAAATTTTAAGTTTTTTCAAAACTGGCGGATTTATTTTATCTCGTCACTCGGGAGTTATCCTGTCAAAAATAATCACTGGATAAAAATTATAGCAAGTGGCCAAGCACATACCAGTAGTATTTTCGATTAGATCTCTAGTGATGAGTAGTATTCTGTTATTGATTATAGCAGCAGAGAATTTTAATGTAATGAGAAGGCGCAAATGTTAAGTAACATTTTTTCAAGTACTAATCACGGTTGCCATTTTGGCCGCAATGTAAAATTTTTGGTCAATTTTTTCTCAGAGACCCAGAATAATAATTATTTCATGGTGGAGTCTTAAAAGAGTAATCCAAATTTTCGTAAGAATTATAAGTCTTTTGATAATAATTATGTGTGAGAGAATTTTTTTAAGTCATCGATAACTATTATTTTAAGACTTATATAATATAAGTCTTTTCATAATAATTATCAGCGAGAGTCTTCAAAGACTTTTATTTTGAAACTAATACTATAAAAGTCTTGTCATAATAATTATCATTGAGATAAATATTTTAAAGTCTTTAAATTTTAAGACTTATACTTCATCTTTTATAATAATTATGTGTGCGAACAAATTTTGTATATAGTCCCGAATGGGTCCCAAACCAAGCCCCAACTGGTCCCGAAGTAATCCTGAAATGCTTCTGAATAAGTCCCGCCTTTTAAGACTTACAAAATTTTTTCGCGCTCATTATTATGAAAAAACTTTTATAATATAAGTCTTAAAGTAAAAGTATTTGAAGACGTACAAATATTTATCTCTCTGATAGTTATTATGAAAGGACTGTTATCATATAAGTCCTTGAATGAATGATAGTTATAGATGACGTGAAAAATATTTATCTTAATATAATTATTATAGATTGACTTTTATTCTTTTCTCTTACAATAGTTTTGTCTCTGTTTTTTATGGTGTGGTACACTGGTACATAATTTTCAGATTTGGTACATTTATGAAATCTGGCAAAACGATATTATTGTTACTGACATATACCTATTTATTAGCCATTTGAGCTGTCCTTGACATTTCAGCTGCGTTTCATAATATATACGCCGTTTTTTTTTTTCAAATTTTTTGCGCTGATTAAAAACTAGTGGAAATTGTGGTATCTCTTTATTCAATTTTATTTTATTTTTGTTGTTTATTAAAACATATATTGCTAGCTTAGAGTGAAAAGTTTGCTAAGCCCAATTTTAAAAATGTTACAGGAGAAGAAAGAAACGTATAGCTATTTTTTCAAGCATTTCGCAAAACTTTTAATACAAAATTTTGGCTTTTTAAAGCAAAGCAAAACTTCATATGAATCAGAGGGATTCGATCTTTATTAAAAGATTTCGTACTATTTTGGCTTTATCAGATTTTCGGTGCTTCTTTTAGACTTAGAAAAATTTCCTTTCATTGAATATAAACGAGAATGAATAATGACAGTACCTTTATCCTTTTCGACACAATGCATTTTTGCAGTTGAGTCGGATTGAGCTGGCATGTGAAGATGTGGTTGGGGTAATGAGGGGACTCTCCACATGCCGGGCACTCATTGGGGATATTGGGGTCGAGTCTGGACAGGTAGCTGTTGAGGCGGCTACAGCATCCAGACCGTAATTGAGCCAGGGTAGCGCGGGTCTCTTTTGGCAATTGAAGCTCCGTCTCTTCTACGGCTGGTGATTGGGCTCTGATTACGGCATTCATAGGTCGAAACTGTTGTTGTTGTTGTAACAGCATACAAATTCCCCTAAGAGATTTTGGGGAGTGTTGCTGGAGTGGCAGTCCTTGGCCAGATATATATCTATCTGGGTCGTTCCGGTTACGTAGACCCGACTGTCGTGGGAACGATAGGTCGAGACTCAAGGTAGGTGGTGACTGACTCTCTATGGATGTCGTTAATGGCTCGCGTTTATGTCGTCAGGTCCAGTGGTTGGTCTACGTATTGCTGGATTCTATCCTTGTACACGAATAGGTCCCCCTGACGTGCCTGGGCGGAGGCTCCTCCTGTAGCAGAGGTCTGTTAGGGTGTTCGCTTCTGCCGCACCGCACCAGAAATTGCTTACAAAGCATTTTGTTGTGTTCCCTTACGGTGAGCACTGGGGCCTCGTTGTATGGGTGGTGCGCAGGCGTCATCAGAAGACACCCAGTCGCTGCCGGAGTGCGGCGTTCTGACATGTCTGTAGCTTCGTCCACTGCGTCCAAGTAGTCCCCGTCGGCCAAACTGTCGCAGTATAGTTTAGAACCGACCGGCCAATTGCCTTGTATGTTGCCAGCAACGGTTCTTTGTATTTGCCCCAAGTGCTGCCGGCGAGCGACTTGAGGACCTTGTTGCGGCTCTGTACTTTATTGACAACTGCGGTTGTGTGCGTGGAGTAGGAGAGCAGGCTATCGAAGGTGACCCCTAAAATTTTCGGGTTGTTTACAGTCGGTATTGGTGTGCCACCGACGTGTATACCTAATTCTAGCTTAACACCCTTCGTCCAGGTGGTGAAGAGGTCGCCGTTGATTTCGTTGGGGAGAGTGTTAGGCTCTTTGCAGTGAAGAAGCGAGAAAGGCTGGAGAGATAGACGTTTACTTTTGTGCAGAGGTCATCAATTCCATTCCCGGACGCCAAAATCGAGCAATCGTCAGGGTATGAGATCAGGGAAACTCCCTAAGGTGGCTGGGGAAGCTTCAAGATGTAGAAGTTAAATAATAAGGGGGAGAGAACCCCACCTTGTGAAACCCCTTGTTTAATTCTTCTTGGTTTCGAGGTTTGATCTCTGAAGATTACTGACGACTGTCGACCACTCATATAATTCGCCGACCTTCGCTTCAGTCACTGTGGGAGTGAGGAGGCCTCAATGTCTTCTAGCAGCGTGGAATGACAGACGGTGTCAAACGCTTTTGACAAGTCCAGCGCTACTAGGACCGTTATCTCACAGGGGCAGTTTCGATTTGGGCCACGATGTTTGGAGGTTTTCGCCTTCCCGATAGCCTCCTTCAATTCAAAGCTGGTGAAATCAAATGGTGCACTGTTTTTTGGAAGCTTGTGCAGCCTCCTGGTCACTCGACGTTTGGCCTTGTCTACCGAAGGATGCAGTGTGAATTGCCTACTGAAGTAGTTTGCGCATTTCTACAGGTCCGACGAAGCGCGACCTTCGAATGAGATTTCCACTCTGTGATCACGCTTCGTTGGGTTAAACAAAGACCTCACGGTTGAGTAGAGCTTACTCACATCAGATGTGAAGTTACAGGCCTTCAAGTGCTCCTCCCACTTTTTCCAATTGTGCTGATTTACCAGTTGCCGAATCTCCAAATTAAGGTTAATTATTAGCAAAAACCAACAATACCAACAACCACATGATCAAGTGAATTGCAGCGGAATAGGTGCGCTTGACTGTGTTGGCATAACAAAAATGAAAATAGTGGAAAAAAGCAAACGATAATTTACAAGGCGTAGCACGGTGCATAGGCAACTGGCTTAGTCAGTGGGATCGTCGGTTCGAAGCCTACTGAAAGAAGTCTGATGAGGAAATGTGGTGATTTCCGAAATAGCTATCACTTCTACCATTTTTTCAAATTATTGTTGCTTTTCCACAATAAATTTTCATTAAAAAAACGGCATCGAGCTCAATAAAAATTTTTGTTTATATATATATATTAAAGAGCAGGGGTACCAAAACTGAGCCCTGTGGTAAGCCGATGTCTACGGCTAACTTACTAGACATCTTTGAATTAACTATTGTTTGTTGCCTACGATTACATAGAAAGCTTCTAAACCAGTCAAGCTCAGTGTTTTTTACGCCAATGTATTTTAGTTTATCCAACATTCGGACCCTATCAACTGTTTTAAGTGCTCTTTTAAGATCAATGAACAGTGTTACTATATTAAGGTGGCAGTTAAGATCTTCTTTCCATTGAGAAAGCACCAGATTCAGTCTCACAGGAATGTTTAGCTCTGAATCCAGATTGTTCTTTTATGAGCATTTTATTGGATTCTATATAGTACTGTAGCTGGTTTTTCACAACGGTTTCTAGTATTTTCTGCAAGCTAGGGAGAGTATGGATAGGCCTAAGCTCCCCAGCGTTAACCGTTTTTCTAACTTTCTTAACGGGCACTATTGATGAAATTTTCCATTCTTCCGGTACTGATCCTCTTTGGAGACTCTTATTTATTAGTAGGGCATAGAGATATCCCATAAAATCAGCAGAGTCCTTAATAACATCTTCAGATAGTAGGATGTTTCCTCCTATTTCCCGCTTAAATTTTTTGGCAATTTGAAGAATGTCTTCCGTTGAGACTTCTTTAGCGTATTTTAGCGTACTTGTGGAAGCTCGAAAAAGTCATAGTTTACACACTATATTGCCCTCCATGAAAAAATAATTTAAGTTTTCCGCAATTTGAAAGCTGTCTACGTAGTTGGTGTTATTTATTATCATTTCATGTGTGTTCATCCCGAAGGCCGGAAGGAGCTCTCATGTTGCCCCCAAGGACTTCAGGCCAATCAGTCTCTCATCGTTTCTGCTGAAGACGTTGGAGAGGTTGGTTGACATGTACATAAGGAGTAGGATTCCTCGAGATCGCCTAAATAGAGCTCAGCATGATTATTGTAAAGGAAGATCGGTATATACCGCTCTGCATACAATTGTGAGGTGATTAGAGGAAGCCTTCACTCACAATGACTTTGTTGCCGTAGGAGCCTTGCCCGATATCGAGGGGCTTTTAATAATGTCCTGCCGGACGCAATAGTTAAGTCGCTAGATAAGCTTGGGGTTGAGGTCAGTTCCATTAGGCTCATCGAAAACTTGCTGCGTGACAGAACTGTCATGGCCATCTGGAGCAGCGACTACTTGCCTCGCATGGTGAACAGGGGCACTCTGCAGGGAGGTGTTCTCTCACCCCTACTCTGGGTCGTCGTGGTGAACGAGCTACTAGAGCAGCTGGAGAAATAAGGCGGTCGGGTAATTGCATATGCAGACGAGGAAAGGGCAAGGAAGGAATATGGGAGCTATTGGCAAGAGATGGGGTATCTCGTATAAAGTTGTCTATTGGCTCTACGTGACCGTCCTCAAGGCGATTATGTTTTATGGGGCCCTAATCTGGAACTCAATCGAAAAGGCTACACTAGCTAGGCAGCTGGAGCGCGTTCAATGGTCTGCATTAATTAGTGGGACACTGCGGACCGCCCCACTTTAGCACTGAACGTAGTGCCTGTCCACGTTGCAGGCAGAATTGTCACGGCGCGAGCGGCTAGGAGCTTCGAATACGGCCTTTTGGCCGAGGGGGGACCGAGGGCGATCGAGGGCACTGCTCAGATTTACAAAGCTACAGCTCTCACTTCAGGTGGGGGTTTTAACGGGCCACTGTCCTGTCGGTATTCACGCAGTAAGGCTGAAGGTTCTACCGGACCCTTATATCGCAGTTGTCTGGAAGAGGACGAGGTGGAATCACCTCAACACTGCCTTCCTAGGTGTCCGGAGTTTGCGAGGAGCTCTGGGGCATTGAGATTAGCCGAATTCGTAAATACATAATCGGCTCGGAGCGTTTTATCGATAAAGTTTCGGCTGCTGTTCAAAATTGTGGTATCACAAAGGACAACACTTTTGTAGATAAAATATATTGTAGAACTCTAGCTTTAAATTGCAACTCTGCTTCCGATATATCTGCTTATAACGCGCGGTAAACTGTGCATGCTGCGGTAGAGTTCTGTACCGCGGGGTACCTCACCGGTAGTACCGCTTCTCTTTGAGTGCTCTTTAACATGGGAAAAATAAAAAAAATACGTGGTTTCACTTAATCACGTGATTAAGTGAAACCACAATTTTTTAAGCTGAATAACGGTAAATTGCAACTATCTCGAAATCGTATCCATAGAAAAAAATTAACTCGATTTTCGGAATCACCGAGCAATTCCACATAGGAATTGGAGTGCCATCCATAGAACATTTTGTTTCAAACCAGTCTTATTAAAGCTACGGAAGCAGTTCAGACCCAGTTATGCAAACTTAGCATTGCAAGAGAGTTGCCGCATAATAATCTGTTAAATGAGCTTTGCGTGTAAGCGGTTACCCAACGCATAGCACTTAACATGTAGAATTCCCTTGGGTTTTAATTTTTACGTAAAAATGGTAAAGCAGTGCAAGTATGCATAACTGGGCTATTAATCCCCGGCTTTTCCGGGATGCAAAAACAGAATCGGGACTCGATACCTTATCATCCAAGCAATCTATAGCAAGATAGTCATGGGGTTGATTTTAATTGTTTTTGTTATCTTTTGCCTTCAGCGCCTTCTCCCGCAATACTTACCGAGTAATACTTTGTACGCGCCTTTAACCATTTGAGTATGGTGGGCTCATGGCGGTAGTTACGCTCCAAATTGGTAAGCTTATGAGATAATGGAGGCGCACGTAAGATGTCACTTTCCCTCTAGTATGTGAAGCTGTGTATGTTGACCCGAGAAATAACAAGTTCTTTACTAAATGCCCTTGAAAAGTTCGAGGGTCTACTCTGTATTGCGGTTCGAAACTACATGCGATTCGAAAGACGACACAGATTAATACAAATTCATATTACCAAGTATTCGAATCCGAATGATTTTCTTTTCGAATCGTAATACAGAGTAGACTCCTAGGAATTTCTTACAAAGATGGGTCTCGGTTCAGACCACGTTGGAGGTATAAAAAGACTCCTCTTATATTTCCGAAAGAAATAAAGAAACTCCCAATTTCACAGGGTAGTTCGACTTTATTGTTTGCTTTTAATACCAATTACGAAACCGTTGCGTTGCCTTCATCCAATTCATAATATGTTCTTTTATGCTTGAATAATACTCTACCCGTGGCTCAAAAACACGATCTATTTTACGAAGTTTTCGCAGATCGTGAAAACTATTCCAGAGGCCAATATTATATCCAACCATGTACGATGCTCCCAATACACTTGATTCGATAGTGGAGGCGCGTTCAACACATATTCCTGTAGCATCTGCTAATAGTTGGCAAACAAAGTTGTTACGTGATACTCCGCCATCAACTCTGAAAGATCAAATATATTCAAATTAGAGTTGGTGTTTTAGTTCACTGTAAAGATTACTTCTCTTCTAGTTCGTTTAGCTCAATGAACTCGCTCTTCTAAGTCTTAGTTCGTTCATCTTATTAAACTATAGTTCCCCTAATTGAACTAATTCGGCAGTAAATAGGAGCTGAGTTATTATATTACGTTCTCATTGAGCCATTAACTCGAGTTTAACATTTTGAGTTTATGAACTAATGTCAAAAGTTCACATTCGGGTGTTTAATAAACTCAGAATTTAATTTGACATTTTTTTGTTTACTTTTTCTTATTCTCATTTAGGGCCGGTTACTCAATGTCTGGTTAACAATAATCTCCGTTTAAACATCATTATCGACGTGTTCGGCTCCATGCATATAACATGGAGTCGGCAACGTCGATAACGATGTTTTACCGGAGATTAGTGTTAACCAGACATTGAGTAACTGGCCCTTATAGCGTTTTCTTTTCTCGAAAAAATGCTGCACTTATTCTGCCCTGTGTTAGCGCTGTCACATTTTCATGTTCTTTTCTCAGCCCTTTCACAAGGCGTCGTGTTCTTTTCTCAGCAGGTTGCGCTCTGATCAGGCGAAAGTGCTGCCTTTTCTGCCCTCAAATAAACGTGAGGGTGAGAGTTGCATGGTTGATTTTAAATTTAATCTTGTAAAAATGCAATTACTTACCCTATCAGAAAAAGGTGTTCTGCTTTAAAATTGTTAAAGACTTACAGGCCAAGTGAATAATTCAGCTTTATTATGTTCTATAAATAAATTGTGATGGAGTAGTATATTTTCTGTTTCATTCTCATATAAAGAACGCATAATTTTCTCAGGTTTCAGGGCAACGCAAAACAAGAGTTCCCATATAATAGGGCAGAACTTTTTTTGAGAAAAGAAAACGATATAACACACAAAACCAAAAACACCAATATACTAACCAAAAACACACCTACAGCCTGCCAAACATACACCTACAGCCACAACACAAAAAACAAACGCAAAGGTAATGAACAAAGTTACACGGATTTTCATTAATTTTTTATGAGTAAACAGTAATTACTCGATTAATCACACATCCCTACTGCATGGTTGAGCAGTTAAAAAAATATATTTGAGTGTTTTGCTCCATCTAGCACTATACTTATAACGGGTGATTTTTTAAGAGCTTGATAACTTTTTTTTTAAAAAAAAACGCATAAAATTTGCAAAATCTCATCGGTTCTTTATTTGAAACGTTAGATTGGTCCATGACATTTACTTTTTGAAGATAATTTCATTTAAATGTTGACCGCGGCTGCGTCTTAGGTGGTCCATTCGGAAAGTCCAATTTTGGGCAACTTTTTCGAGCATTTCGGCCGGAATAGCCCGAATTTCTTCGGAAATGTTGTCTTCCAAAGCTGGAATAGTTGCTGGCTTATTTCTGTAGACTTTAGACTTGACGTAGCCCCACAAAAAATAGTCTAAAGGCGTCAAATCGCATGATCTTGGTGGCCAACTTACCGGTCCATTTCTTGAGATGAATTGTTCTCCGAAGTTTTCCCTCAAAATGGCCATAGAATCGCGAGCTGTGTGGCATGTAGCGCCATCTTGTTGAAACCACATGTCAACCAAGTTCAGTTCTTCCATTTTTGGCAACAAAAAGTTTGTTAGCATCGAACGATAGCGATCGCCATTCACCGTAACGTTGCGTCCAACAGCATCTTTGAAAAAATACGGTCCAATGATTCCACCAGCGTACAAACCACACCAAACAGTGCATTTTTCGGGATGCATGGGCAGTTCTTGAACGGCTTCTGGTTGCTCTTCACTCCAAATGCGGCAATTTTGCTTATTTACGAAGCCATTCAACCAGAAATGAGCCTCATCGCTGAACAAAATTTGTCGATAAAAAAGCGGATTTTCTGCCAACTTTTCTAGGGCCCATTCACTGAAAATTCGACGTTGTGGCAGATCGTTCGGCTTCAGTTCTTGCACGAGCTGTATTTTATACGGTTTTACACCAAGATCTTTGCGTAAAATCTTCCATGTGGTCGAATAACACAAACCCAATTGCTGCGAACGGCGACGAATCGACATTTCACGGTCTTCAGCAACACTCTCAGAAACAGACGCAATATTCTCTTCTGTACGCACTGTACGCATTCGTGTGGTTGGTTTAATGTCCAATAAAGTAAACTGAGTGCGAAACTTGGTCACAATCGCATTAATTGTTTGCTCACTTGGTCGATTATGTAGACCATAAATCGGACGTAAAGCGCGAAACACATTTCGAACCGAACACTGATTTTGGTAATAAAATTCAATGATTTGCAAGCGTTGCTCGTTAGTAAGTCTATTCATGATGAAATTTCAAAGCATACTGAGCATCTTTCTCTTTGACACCATGTCTGAAATCCCACGTGATCTGTCAAATACTAATGCATGAAAATCCTAACCTCAAAAAAATCACCCGTTATTTGGCGCTGTAACCGCCTTACCCAGGGGGAAAATGGGGAATGCATTACTTCATTCTAACATCACGAGGAGACTACTACTGTTGTAAGAAAAGACGCATCGCAATCAGTGTTTTGCTGCGAATCATTTTTATTGGTAGCCAAATTCCTTTAAAAAAAGAGCTAAAAAAGTCGTTGTAGCTAAAAATGGTACACTCTAAAAAGTGCATGTAAAACTACTACTGAAAAGTGTTTATTTTTCAACCAGAATCTGTTCAAGTATACGCACAAGATGTTCAAGATTTGATTTTGAACATGAGTTGTTTAAAATATACACAAGAAATGTTTAAAATTACAAACATTTTGAAAGTAAAAATCTATTTTTTACAAATAATAAATACTAAGTGCCAGGGGCGCACGCAGGAATATATTTTTGGGGGGAATGGGTTTATACTTTTAAATATATATCATCAGCAAATACTGAAAATTTGGTATTTAAAATACATTTATGAAAGTTTTATTTACAGTATGAAATAAATAAATAAACTTTTCAAAGTATCATCAATTGCATTTTATTTACATAAAATTTACAAAGAACTCAGACATTTTTAACCGGCTTCAAAAAAGGGGAGGTTATCAATTCCTCGGTGTATTTTTACTTCTTTTATTTATTGCACCGCATAACTTTGTACCGCGTGAACCGATTCCAATAATTATTTTTTTTACCGGAAAGATGGTACCTTAAGGGTCGTCTCGTAATTTGGTTTAGATCCGATCATTAAATCATGAAAAAATTAACGGTGCACTCAACCTTCAAAAGTAATACAAAATTTTAGAAAAGAATTTTAATATAAATAAATTAAATAATTTCACGAAATTTTTACACTTTTTTATTAATTTTCGTCGATTTCTGGTTTCTTATTTCTTAATAATTCGAATAACTAAAATTTAACTGAACTTGTATTTTTATCATGTAGCTCATTTTGGTGGAACGAATTCGAAGTTAGCAAATTAAATCTTCGAATGCTTATTAAGTACATATGAGTGGTAAACTTTTTTAGGCTGTAAAGTGTAAAAAGCAACAGTAAGTGAGTATCCATTGCTTATTTTTAGGACAATGTTTTCATTCGCAGTTAAACTTTAAAGAGCTCTCAAGAAAAAAGGAAAAATTCTTACAAATTGACGCACAAGAAATGAAAAAGAAAATTTTTTCTTTCAAAATTTCTTAAATCATAATAAACTTAACCCCAAAACCCACCCCTTGTGTGCTCTACGTGACAAATTTGATATGTAAAAGTAAACAGAGAGTGTTTAATTTTGCACACACTAGGAGAGGAAACTGGTTACCTCTCGTTATATGCGTAAATTTAAACGAAAATTTTTTAGAGGAAATTTTAAACATTTTATGTGTAAACTGTGAAAATGTGAACAATAAATGTTTAAAACTCAAAAAACAAATTTGAAATTTGTTCTACGCCACACATATGATAAGTAAAAGTAAGCAAGCAATGTTTAAATTTGCATTCATTAAGAGAGGAAACTGGTTACCTATCTTAATATGCGCAAGTTTAAACAAAAATTTTTTAGAGTGTAGCTAAAGTTTTTTACTTACATATATATAAGTATACACGAAAACATTTTCAATAAGCAATGGTATAGAAAAACAACGAAATCTGGAAAAAAGCAAATATTTTATCCAACCAAGAACCTTTTTGTATAAAAGGGGAAATATACGACACCAGCTTGTTGGCTCCATCAAGTGATTGTACCATCAGGCAGCATGCTGGTGCAATATCTATTTCTTTACAAATGAGGTCGAGGAAAGATCGAAATGATTAGAGTCGAAATTTCATAATTTTTCTACCATTTTGTTAAACATTGTTTTTTTTTTTTATTTCACAACTACTATATCGTGATCCTAATCTTCCACAAACACGGCTTTGACTCATATAGTGCAAGAAATTCCCGCCAAAATACTTTTTACTTAGAAAATTGAGCTAATTTCACCACTCACGTCGCCAGCAGCTGGTACAATCATCGACTGCTGAGTGAAAGATCGACCTATCTCGGCAGCCAGTTCGAAAACGCCCTATCTCAAAAAACTTTTCAAGAACGCCCTATTTCAGATTTAATTGAAAAACACCCTATGTCAAAACTCGGTTCAAAAACGCCCTATCTCACTTCAAAATGTATTGAAAATATGCTGATATAGGGCGTTTTTGAATCGGCAGCTGCCGAGATAGGTCGATCTTCCACTCAGCCATACATATACAACTTTTTCATGCCAAGTATAAGTAAATTCTCCCAAAGGGCTAAAAATGGGCTAGGGGCAATTTTAAATTTATGTGGTCAAAAAAAGTATCTAGCAAGCCAAGCACTAAAACGGCAACACTGATCGCATGTTTTTGAATGTGTGCCTGAAAAATTAAGCCAGGGCCCATCTCTACTTTTCATATTACTAAACATTCCATTTTCACATAAGGTAGTTAATCCGAGTATGTATGTATACTTATTTTTGCTTACCTTAACGCTTTCAATGTGTATTTGCTTTCTTTTTCCACTGTTTCGCATAATTGAACTACTCGGAAGACTATACTCTCCAGTATAGCTCGCACTAAATGTGCACGCGTCGTGGACGGAGTAATCCCAATAAAGCCCGAGGCAGCTTTTTGATCATTGATAGGGGCCTGGAATATTATTTTATACAAATTTTATAATACAAAGTAGAAATATGCATAAATTCACACAATGAGCATATGTATTTGATAGATATTCCATTAAAAATGATGTAAAAAAGCTGTTATTAACTTTAGTGTGGACTATATTTTGACTATGAATATTTCCCAATATTTTTAAATACTCACTCCCAAGCCGCTGAAAGCTGGTATAAAATAAACGCCTTTAGTGTCTGGTACAGATTCCGCGATAGCAGCAGATTCCATGGGGTTGGTAAAAAGACCGCACAGCTTCGCCCATTCTATCACCGAACCCATGTCATTTGAAGCACCTTCAATACAATAAATGGTTCGAGCACATTCTTGTGCGTCTCTAAATTGCCAAGCAACCAACGGATACATCCCCATTAACGAGGCGTGGCAATCACTACCCGTAGTCAAGTTGAGGAAAGCGCCAGTTCCCAAAGTAATTTTCACATCACCACGCTCAAAGCAATGTGACCCCCAAAGAGCCGCAGTTTGATCACTTGCGGAGGCGTTTATAGATATAACGGAGTTAGTCCAATCGGGTCCTAAGGATCTAGGATGTATTTGACCGAAATCTTTATAGCCATTGTCCACAACTTTAGGAAGTAAAGAAGACTACAAGCATAAATATATACAAACTTTGAAATAAATTGCGTAAATTAGAAAAACTCATTATGAAAAAACCTACATCGATCCCAAACAGCATTTTCATAAGAGGTGACCAGCTAAGTGTAAATGGATCAAAAAGTCCAGTGGCAGTAGCAGAAGTTATATCGCTGATATGATCAACATTTGGTCGTGCGCCATTTCCAGATCTGTGTTGAAAGTGTTAATTTGTTTACAAAAAATTTAAGTTATATTTGCCCCTATATTCTAACAGAGTCACAAAACTTAGCTCATCACCGTTGTGATTTCAAGTGCGCCGAGAAATGTGTCACAAAAAATTCGATTTTGAGCGCTAGAAAAATACACAAAAATTTAAAAAATTGAATTGAAGCGGCATATTTTTTGAGCGGCAAGCTTTGAGGCGCGGTAGAAATCACAGCAGTGATGAACTGAAGTTTGTGACTTTGTTAGAATACGGCTGTAAGTCTCGAAAATGTCAAATATTTTTAATTTTTCTCACAAAAATTCTAAATTGTTAAAATCTCTTTGCATGTGAAACCTTTTTCCAAGGCGAATTAATAAAATAAATATATGTAAATTCGCCTTGCCTTTTTCCATCCAAAACAAGCGATTGAATAGCAACTTTGGGGACGCTCGCGCAACTCAAAAAATACACCTTGGATGGAACACTGCTTCGAGAAGCAAACAAATTATCTTGGAAAGAAAGTTGCAACAATTTTCATTTTTCCAATTACAATAAAAAAAAATACGCCTTGGATGGAACACTGCTTCGAGAAGCAAACAAATTAACTTGGAAAGAAAGTTGCAACAATTTTCATTTTACCAATTACAATTTTTTATTTTTTTATTTTTTTTTGTATTTCACGTGGCACGCTTTGATTTAGAAGATAAAAATCCGAATAGTTTTTGACACTTTGCTCTAATGCTACTACCTGTTTGATGTGCCCTGATGGGTACCAAATGAAAGAGCCAAATTTTTTGCGGTAAGGTACTTTACGGTATTTTAAACCAATACACACCTAAGGCCGGTTGTTCAATGTCGGATTAGCATTGGAGGTAGAAGCTCCGGTTAAGTACACCGACTGCTTTTTCGATCACATGTCACATGCATGATGTCGAAATCGTCGATACTGTAGTGGTAGTGATAACCACACATTGAACAACCGGCCCTTAGGGCCGGTTGCTTAAAGCCTGGTTGAAACTAATCATCGGTTAACATCGTTATCGACGTTTTCGACTCCATGAATATCAGAGTCCTGCACTGAATGAATAAAACACAACGTTGAGCTGCTTGCGAGAAACTAAAGGTCTGATTATGCATACTTCGCACAACCATTTGTACCAACGCAATAAAAATGTAACTTAAGAAAATGTGAATCAAAATCTAAACTCAACAGATCGCTAAGTTTTTAAAACTTCTGCTAATTTATGGGTAATGGAATACAAACTAAATGCATACAAAGTACATACGGAATTACAGTTTGAAATTTATGCGAAGTTATGCGAAGTATGCATGATCAGACCATACGTGTGAAGCAAGCGAAATAATAGTTGTGTTTGTTTACAAATGATCGAGTAACTTGCCAGCAACTCTCCAGTAACTTTATTTCTAAGAAATCGCTCTCATAGAAAAAATTTGCAAAAAAAGTACGCGAAAGCTATTCCAGTAATTGTTTCATGAACAGCTGATAAATTCGTTGTTTATTCGCAGAAAATTCCTAATAAAAAAATATACATATTTTATATTTAAATGGGTTTATTATGTGAAATTCAATAATAAAACCCCACAAACAGTTTCCTTATTAGTTTAAATTTCATCAGGCAACATGCGATCGGCTGTTATTCGTACTGGCAAATTCTTACAAGTAAAAATTTATCCAGTAAAATCCAGTAACAACTTGCGACCTCAATTGTCATTTTCGCTCTCTCAATTTCCCCTACTTTGCAAGTTTTTGCGTACGAAAACGCCAAAACATGAAAATTCGTAAACACTTTTACTGGATTTTATTGAAAATGAGTAAACAAACGCAACTATTCACGGAGAGTTAGCAAGTGAGAATGGCGCTCACTTATTGTCAGGGTGTCCAGATTGTTAAAAAAAAACGCAATTTTTTTTTTAATAAAATTCATGAATTGGATTTAACAAATCTTTATATTAAAAATGAGATCATTTTATAATATTGTTTTTAAGAACAAAAACGCATATAATACCTTTAGATGGTAATAATAAATAACACAAACCACTTATATAATAGTAATGTATAAACAGTTTTCTTTAAAAATACGCATACTTTTTAAAAATATTTGTTTCAACACATTTTGCAATAGGACTGCGCAATTAATAAATTTATTATAACTCATATTAATTGATTAATCGCTCAATCCACTTTTAAGAGCTCGGCGCTAAAAATTAAATAAAAACCTATAATAAGGCGAGATCAGCTATTTCCACAATTTCTTCAAAATCACCTATAGTGTCTGAATGATTTACATTTCTGTTGTTGCCATATATTGAGCTATTCAACCTCGATAACATACTGTTTGATATTGGAAACGTCATCCTATTTCGAATCTTAGTTTTTGTTGAATTCATTTCGGAAAAAAATGCGCTCAACAAAGCGTGTGAGTGCGGCAAGGATAATAACATGAATTAACATATATTTCCAAACATTTTATTGCTTGTTGCGGTTTTCACTCCGAAAGCAATTATCCAAAATTCTTCAGAGTCGAATGGAATCGTTCTGAGAAAAGTTATTCCATGGGAAAGTTAAAAGATTTAAATATTTAATTTCCGCTGCTCTTCTTTCCTTCAAAGTATTTCCTTCAAAGTGAATTAGCAGGTCCCTGAAACTCGCCCCCTTGTGATTCACGCACTTTTCTAGTGACAAAATCAAAGCTTTTTTAAGTATTTAATTGACTAGGTAATCGTTTCAAAATATCTTCGATTAGGGTGATTAAACATTTTTGACAGTCTTTTAATATGCTTCTTAAGTCAAGTTTATCACGTAGTTATTAGCCTCTTCTGTAAAAGTTATCGGTAGAAAACTAAGTTTTGTATATTTTTATAATTGGAAAAAATTTATTTGAGGGGGAAAAATTTTTACGCGCAAATATCCAAAAAAATCGCCAAATTGGCGCGAAATCGTCAAATCTGGACACTCTGCTTATTGTTATGAAAAAGAGAGCGCCGACTTGTGAGCTAGTGAGTATGTGTTGAGCAAGTAATCACAAGTGCTTGGCTTCTCATGACTGAATGAGTCTTCCGAGCTCTTCATTAGTCTCTCATGAGTTCTCATGACTGAATGAGTCTTCGCGCGAGTATCTGTATACACGAAACTTTAACGGAATCAATGTTGAAGACCTAGGTAATGAAGCTTCAGCCCTACCTTCGAATGACTGTTGGTTTTTTGCCGATATTATATTAAAAAGTTGAACATTTTTCCAATTTAGTCAATTATCTTTTTATAAATATATTTCACTTAGAAAAATTAAAGTTAATTGAAACAGGCAACCATGGTTCACTAAGAGGGTACTTGAGGCGATAAGAACTCGAAACAAAAGCTATAATTTCTGGAGGAAAAACGCGAATGAAGAAAATCGGGTGGCATATAAACGTATGCGGAACCGGGCAACTAAAATCACACGTGAGTCAAAAATATGTTACTTTCAAAACAAACTTAATACTAGTCGTCCTCCGAAAGTTCTGTGGAATAATTTAAAACAGCTTGGAGTCAAATCTAATTTGAAATCTGAGTGTGTGATCGATGTTGATTGAAGCCATGAATGATTACTTTGCAATTAAATTACCTGAGGAGCATGATATTTTTGTGCCCAACGTAAATATTTCGTATGATTTTAGCCGCAGATTTAACTTTTCTAATATTTCCGAATCGGAAATAATACCCTGCATTCTTTCAATTAAATCAAATGCTGTCGGAGAGGACAAAATAAGCTTAAGGTTTATAAGGCTCGTTCTTCCTTACATCATATCACCCTTAACGCATATTATAAATTTTTCGCTAACTTCACTTAGATTTCCTGATGCCTGGAAAGTGGCTAATATTATACCTGCTGCGAAAAAAGGTAATGCATTACAACCCTGTGACTTTCGGCCAATCAGCATTTTACCGCCTTTATCAAAGATTTTCGAAAAAGTATTACTGAATCAAATGATGAAGTACCTGATAGAAAATGTCCTTTTATCTGAAAATCAATCGGGATATCGCAGAGGACATAGCTGCCCAACCGCTATGCTCAAAGTCATGGAGGACGTTCGTCCTCCAGCTTTTGACGCTGTTTGCCATAGAATCCTCATTCGAAAGCTTGACACATATTTCGGATTCAGCAATGATGCAGTGAAACTAATTGAAAGCTATTTGACTAATAGACATCAAAGGGTTGTTTTCAGGGATAACCGCTCTAGCTTAACACCAGTAAAATCGGGTGTACCGCAAGGCTCCATTCTTGGTCCGGTATTATTCAATTTATATATTAATGACTTAGAAAAATGCTGCAAAAATGTATCAATTCATCCTTATGCTGACAATGCTCAGATATGCCTCTCTGCCCCTCTAGGCTTAACAGAAGACTAAGTCCTCCGATTAAATGAGGACTTACAGGCTATTTCTCTGTGGTCGAAAAATAACAGGCTTAACCTCAATTAGTCCAAAACGCAGGCAATTACTCTATTCTATTTTCCCTACAATCTTGATAATGTTTCTCCAATCATGCTGAATGGGAGTGTTGTGAAGTATGAGAAGATTGTTAAAACACTTGGGTTTACACTGAATCAAAATCTAACGTGCATTGATCATGTTAATGCATCAGTCAGCCGAATGTATTCTGTACTGAGGCAATTATGGAAAACAGCGTTCTTCATTCCCAAAGATGTCAAACTTAAGCTTGTTAAAATGCTATTGGTACCAATAATATCGTACCACGAGTTAATATATGGTTGTCTCGATAAAGAATCCTTCGGAAAATATCAATTATTATTTAACAATGCCGCTAGATATATATATCTCAAGCGTAAATTTGATCACATCTCCGAGTTTTCGACAAATATTCTTGACTGCAGCATATCTATATTCTTTGATCGTCGTTTGGTGTTATTCATATATAAAGTAATCTACACCCGTTGCCCGAAATACCTTTTTTCGAAACTGACGTTTTCACAGTCAACTCGCACATGCAATCTTATTTTAAGTATTCAGTTACATCAAGAATGTTTTTTGTTAGAGCCGTACAGTTGTGGAATTCTTTGCCAAGAAAATTAAAATCGGAAACTAGTGCAAAACGCTTCAGATCGGCTGTGTATTCTTTCTTCTCAAGCTAAATCCTGTACCATCTTATTACAAATTTTTGTTTCCCACTTTACTATTTCTTTCTTCAACTGTTAAAATGTTCAAAAACTAGTTTAACAACTGATTAGTATACATATATTCTTTAAGCTACCAAAATTTTATTATTATGTAATTGTTTTGAAATATGGCACTGTAAAAGACTATGTCTTATATGTGCATTTAAATAAATAAATTGAAATTAAAAAATTTGCAATTTAGGTGAAACCTTGCAGAATTTTTTTAATTTTTGTACAAAGTTTGATCCAAACCCAGAGATCTACCACCTTTTTTTGAAATCTACCACATTTTTTTTTCCAGATTCTACCACACAGAATTTTTTTAAAGCCCGATCACTGATGATGGCATAAAGTGACGGTAAGTTTACCAGTGCGTCAAGAGCACTATACACCACTCAAAAAAATAAAAGTTAAATAAATAGGCTATCAAGCAACCATTTTGGTTCTTTACTATCGAAACCAGATAAATCTTCGTGGATCCCCATTTACACCTCGTGGACCCCAATATTTTTTTTACGCTAGCGTAGGCCTTTGTCGAGTCTCCCATGGACCCCTGGAGGTCCACCTGGACCACTATAGGAATCACTGGTGTAGACCCCTGGTCTTCTGGCCCGCCTTCTGCAGCATCGCAGGAAAGATGGCGTCCGAGCTCGGCGACCTATACGCGAAAATGAGCTCAAGCCCCACTCGAGTCTAGACGGCGTCACCAGTTCCCTTGCAAGGCTACCCTCTCCTGCGATGGATGCTCCTGTATCAGGTGGGCTACTTGGATCCTCGACCGCAGGGAAGTGAGTCTGCAAGAATAAGGCGAGATATTTTTCGCCGCATTGAGTCCACTCGCCGTCGTCCTTTTTAATGAGTGCCTGGGTTACACAACCCTTGGTCAGGAGCTTCCTTAGCCTTGCTGTCTTGCTGGAACTTTCGATTCCACTACAGAAGTTCCTCCATGAGCTTCTTGTACCACTGCGAATGGATTTCTTGTAGATCTTTAGAGGATCCTTGTACTCCTCCCAACATTCGTTAGAGTCAGCACACTTGGCTAGCCTAAAAGTTACCCTACCCCGTTTTATAAGGATGCTAAGTTCATGGCTCCATCGAGGGGGCTTTGCCCTTCCTTTAGACGTCCATAGGGGGGCCATTTAGTATTTCGGATAGATGATCGTTCACATTTTCCAGATCATTTGCATCTCTAACAGATCTGGGCGAACTCGGCCTGTCCTCGACTATTTTTTGAAAAAAGGGCCCAGTTTGTGAGTCTGGGGTTCCTGAAAGAAGCCTCCCTTAGGAATTTGTTACCAGAAATAGTAAAGCCTATATAAGCATGATTCGAGAAGGACCATCCATCCTGTCAGCTCTACGCCAGGCTCGGAACAGAAAAATAAATGAAAAACGTTGTTCGACGTTGGGGCCATGTATGTGGGAACCTTGCCGCTATTAGCTACGCTTAAGTTACCATGAATAATGTAACAGGGTAAGGACTCACCTCCTTCATTAGTGTCGCTGCACCCCCAAAAGGGATGGTGTGCATTCGCATCCGCGCCTACGACAACTTTCCGTCCTCTGCGCTTCTCCTCCTCCACCAACCTTCTAAACTCTATGGGGGGGGGGGGGGGCGCAGAGGACGGAAAGTTGTCGTAGGCGCGGATGCCAATGCACACCTTCCCTTTGGGGGGGGGGGGGGGGGGCATCTACGTTGTGCGCCATGTAGCAGAGCCCCAGGATTACAACCTCCTCTCCGTCTCTATCTATGACCACAACCGCCAAATCCTCAGTACTGTAATTAAATAAAGCGTTTGTGTACGAGTTATTTCTAACCAAGATACCTGCTCTCACACTACCCACACGTCGCATGGTGTACGCGAAAGGTACGCGCCTCCAGCCCAGAAATCCTTCATACCAACGAGAGCCTTGGCTCTTGGACTAGCGCCACGTCGAACGACTCCTCCTCCAATGTGATGAGGAGATCGCTCGAAGACACCTTACTGTGTGGGAGGTTTATTTGGAGGATATTCAGCATCTGGCCGCTGCTTGCTCCCCTCCATCTCCATGGCCTCACCATCAACGCTGTCTTTCTCCGCTACAATCAGGCTAGCCAAGCTATCGAGACCTAGGCCCTTCTCGACTTCCCCTGCTTCGAGCGTGTTCTGATTGATGTCGCCTTTCGGAGGTCTCTTCATAAGTCTGAGATAGACGCTACCCATACCCCACTACATTGTTCCGTAGCAGGTCCTCCGCCACCTCATTTATCTGGACGATATAGTTCTGTCCTTCCTCCGTAGGCTTTGATACGTGGTCTACTCTCCAATATCGAGTGGGTATGTTCGGATTTTGACTCTGCAGCAGCAAAACGTCCTCCGCTTTCGCCACACACGGCATCATAACTTAGCCTTCAGTATCATGGGGATAAGGGCTCACCACCTCTAGCTGCGCATCATCCGGTCTCTGGAGGTTCGGCACCACTCCGTTTTACCAACTTAGTGTCATGTCGTCGTTGCATTAAACGAGTTTTACCATATTATACTAACCTGCTGCATCAAAAGAGGGCATAGACCAGTCTTGGATCTTCATGCATGCGTCATCTGTCCATAGGGCTCGCTGCGGTTCAGAAGCGCTACTGCCATATACTGCCTGGCTCACTCAGCTTCGCTCCAGGGTGCTGAGAAACATCGGCCCTAGCCCCCTGCTCATCGCCGGCTATCTCTCTTGGCGCCTTGGAGGACGACGGTTTGTCGCCGTCACTGTGCCGGTCCTCATCAACCTGTTTTACAGCTCTTGCGCACGACCCGCCGCTTGCTGGCCCAGAGGGTCTTAGCATCGCCGACTTGTTGTCGCTCGCCTGCCTCACAGCTTTGGACGTTGGCAGCCTTTCTCCCCTGCCACCCTTGTGTCGCTTGATGGTGGATTTCTCACCTTCCGCCGATCTCTGCCGCTTCATCCGGTCCCGACGCTCATCCTGCGCCTCCTCGATGCTATTATCGTACCTAGGGTTGTCAAACCACTTCCTTCCCGCCTCCACAGATTCTCTGGCCCATAGCATGCGCTTAGTTTGAGGTTGAGGGCTGCTCTGTATTGCGATAGGCCGCTCTTCCCCTCTTAATTTCGTAATTTCCTGCCCCCATTCGCGTCATCCCTCGCGGTACTCACTAGCAGTTCCTTTTCTCTCACTGAGCTGACACTAGATGCGCCCTCATCGACACTGTCTAGGTCAGAGTGTTCGCTTGTCGCATGACTCTTGTGAGCGACTCAATCCCCCTGCCTTTTTTTAGATACTTCCCACAAAATTTCGAGGTGGGAGTAAAAAAAAAAATAGTCGCCGAAAAAAAGTACCCTAATGTACATATGTATTTTAACAAATTATTGATTTTGTCGTTAATTTTATAAATTTACCTTAATTTGTAAAGTATCCAGGAATCTAATAGTTCAACGCGTGCGTCTTTTTGCTTAAGTGCCTCTCGAAGACGAGTGTTGTTCTCAAGCTCATGCAGAAGGCGCAGAGTGACCTGTACAAAGAAAAGTAAGTGCATTAGGACGTATCATGAAAAAAAAGTTTAGTGTTGTCCGTTTTATTTGAACACTTATGTTGGGAGAAAATTTTTGGTGTGAAACATTTTTTTAGGCTATAACTTTGGAACACTCAGTCACATCAGATTAATATACGGCACGTTCAATAATATAAGGAATGAATTCAATATTTATTTATTTTTTTTTGAGATTTCATCATTCAGTTAAAAGCTTGACAAGAAGAATACTTTTAGTCTACAAGATAACTAAACTCCCTAAACAAATGGCGAAGATATGTGTCTTTCCATCTATTTTGTATATTACATTCATATAATAATTGACCAAACTTTAATAGCGTTTTCCCACAAAATTAAATTTTGAAATAATTCTCTTTATTATTAAACGTGCGATAAAATAAGGAGACATTACTACAATAGGTTCTTGTGATTAAAAGTGTAGCTGTTGGACTCACTTGAGTCCTTAGAAGTTTCTCTCCATAATCTTAGTTAACTAAAATGGGTAAAACAATCAATCTTTTTGTCGCTTAAAAATGTTTATATTTCAAAATAATTGTTTCGACACGCGCGTGGTATCATCATCACTTGCTGGTGTTCAACTAACACAAAAAGGTTAATTGTTTTACTCATTTTAGTCAGTTGACGTCGCTTAGCACTCAAAATAAACTTTTAATAATCTTAGTTAGTTTATATAATTGAAAAGAAAAACTCACCTCAGTTCTAAATAGTTTTTGTTCCGATAAAAATATAACAAGGTGAAACCATTGAGAGGCAGTCTGACGTTTGCCAGCATTAGCTTTGTATAGTAACTTCTCCAGTAAAATATTGCAGCGAGAGCGTAAAAGCGAAATAGAGCGTAAAATTGAGAAGAGAAAGCTAGCAGAAAAAGTTATTGAACACAAAGCTAGTAAACACTTGCAAGTGAATAGTTGTTGCACCGTTTTGATATTCTGCTGTAAACATTTTACTATTCACAAATCAGTAATACAAATCAATAATACATTTTTTCGACAGGAAACGTGATTTTATTGTGTTAAATTGCAAAATATTTGATTTATAAAAAGAATTAATGGCGAAAATGTTAAAAAACGGGGATTAGCAAATTTCAGTGCTTCGAAAGTTTCTGAGGCATTGTTTACTTTTACTTGAGAATTGCCAAAATCGGCAAATCCCAAGTAGCGGTTTCTAGAACGTGCCACATTTGTTCGCTACAACGTGATGTGACAAAAAGAAAAGCTGGCAGCACTCCGCAAGGTTGCAGAAATATCTCAAAATATATTCGAAAAATATCTTGATATAGAAGGAACTGCTTTACACGGTTAAGGAAAAAAATTGCCAACATTTAACGCAATTTTTAGCAACTTCAATCTTGCACTTAATATGCTAAAATTAATTTTTTTTCAGTGTCTAATTAAAAAGTTTGCAATTTAGGTGAAACCTTGCAGAATTTTTTAAATTTTTGTACAAAGTTTGTTCCAAAACCTGATCTCTACCACATTTTTTTGAAATCTACCACATTTTTTTCCAGATTCTACCACAAAGAATTTTTTTTAAGTTCGATCACTGCTTATAAAATCCAGTACGTCATTAATATTTTGATTTCCACTCATTTTACTTTTGCTTGTGCTAAACTAATTCAACAAATGGAGGCTTTTGACATTTATTCTTCTTCTTCTTCTGCTAGCTACTTTCTGCTAGTAAAAATTTCACTAGCCAGAATTTTCAGCTCTCCCGCGTTGTTACGCTCTCGAATCAGTGCTATCTTGCAAATTTTTTGGGTTATCATACACTTTTCCAGTAAAAATTTGCAGGTTCCAGTACAAATTAGTACTGAATATTGGTTACTATACGAACCTAATATATGTATTTTAAAAATTCAAAACTCAATCTCACGCACACTTTCTAATTTTCAATCTCAAACAACAATTGTGAGCAATTTAATTTTTTTATTTTCAATTTTATATGATTTTAAAATGCTTGCAAACCGCAGAAAAATATCATGGCCGAAGAATTGAGAGAATGAATTTACCTTGTAATGTTTTAATCGTGGTTTTTGCCGCTTTTAACTTATACTGAACATTTGTGTTACTTTCCTCTGTTTTAATGTGTTCACCTCGAATAACTTCGAGTTTTATGATAGTAATTTAATATAGCGAATTGTTACACTTTTACAGCCAATTTCACAAAAGCAATTTAAGTGAAAAATTATTTTAATTTTTTAATTTTATATGGAAATTGACAGAACATAAAAAATTATTTTACATTTAAGTTTCTGGTGAAACCGGCTGTTACGCCCAAGAAAAAAGCTTTTGTTATTCAATACATCGAAATGCATAATTTACCTGCCCATTCATCATTTTCAACACACTTGCTGCTAGAAATCGTTTGCTCCGTGTAATCAAGTACAAAACGTAAGAAAATATGTTTAATGCCTTAATAGCTGCTCCAGCATTCCATTGGTCCACTAATGTATTCGCACGCAAATCTTTCCATGTTATAAAATTATGGTAATACTCCTGTGTTTCGTGGTTCCAAGTAAGAAATGTACAGCGTTGTGTCGACAAACCAAAGTTCGTGATATCACAGGGTTTTAATTGGGCATCTTAGATTTGGATTTGATAATAAAGAAAAAATTAAACAGTTTCATCGATTGGGAATGACGATTAAGTTTATACATATTTATATAACAAAATAAAGCGTGCTAATTTTTCTTAATTGAAAAATTATAAAAATACATTTTTTAAGCAGTACAATACAGCAGCCGGACTCCACCGTTCGCTATCACTAATTTTGATCGCCGAAAATCTCCAAAAAAATAGCAGGCGCCCCTATCAACACGTAACATCTAGTTACATTCCCCGCATCCTCCCAGATTTGGCTGATTACAGATTGCATGTGTTACTCTTCAATGTTGTATACTTTTAGGACCCACTGCTTTTCACTGAGAGAATTTTAGCGACAAAAATTTAGCGTAGCGATTGTCAGAATTCCACTGCAGGTCTTAATTATGCATTTTGAAGGTTTCTTCACTTAACTCAATAGGGGGTTTCCCTTAAACTCTAAATCGTTGAAATAAGACACATTTATGATAGACATTTTATTTTATTATATACAGGCAACGTTGTTTGTTAAGGTCGTGAATGTAGATCATCTGCTGAAAAACAATAGACTTTCAGTGTAAATCGTATTAAAAATAAAAAGAATCAACACAACGTATAATTTTGGTGCTCTGCAACGGAACGAGTGTGTAGTTTGCGTAAAACTCAACTCGACAATATGGCTTCTTCGGAGGTAGATCAACTACAACTAATCTTTTCCAATATCCACAAACTACTTGTAAGTACTAAAACTAAGCTTATGTATTTTAGCCATGCTCCCAAAGAATTGCCAAGCTGTGATGTTATATTTCATTCCTCAGATTGTCCCCGTTTCAATCTGCATAATATTGCGTGCTCTTTGAATGTCTCCTAAGTCTTTCGTGTGCACTGTCAAATGCACCGACAACTGTTTTAAGGTTGACGCTGTTGCAAAATTTTAAGTATCTAGGTATAGTTATTGACAATCGTTTGAAGTGATCTGAACTTCTTCGTACGATAAAACAATACTCTCTTAACACCATTCGTCACTTCTACCGCCTCAAAAAGTTGTGCTCTATGCCCACACTAAAAATTGTTTATTATGGTATATTTCAGTCAAAGCTGCAATATGGTATCACCTGCTGGGGTGGCGCTTCGGCTAATAAATTGTCACCCATTGTAACAATTCAAAAACGCGTAATTAGACGGATCTGCAACGCTAACAGCAGATCTCACACTATGCAATTTTTTAGAAAACTCGATATACTTCCATGCCGGCATTTATATTGTTTCAAAGTTCTAAAAATATTTTTTATTAAATCTGGCTACCTAGAAAGCTTTCCGTCAGAAATTTACTACTTACGCAAAAACTTACTTCCTGTAAGTACATCTGTACATGTTCCGCCTGCTCGCTCGTCTCATTTTGGAAGTTTCTATACATACACGTCGTGCAAATTGTTCAACTCTCTTCCTGCTTCTGTACAGATCATTAGAAATCTTAGCTTATTTTAAAAAAAATGTTAAAATATATCTGCTTAACTTTAACCACTATAATATAGAAACCCTGCTGAGGTCGATATTGTAGCCCTAAAGTATAACAAAATATTGTAATTATGGTACTATAGCACATAAATACGTATACAAATACGTCTCTCAAGTCTCTTGGATTTCTATTGAACTCTTTTTAGCTCTAAAATAATATTTTCATTATTAGCAAATATTCATATTGTTCACCTCACATCAAGTCTATTAACTATAAGTAGCATTGCTGGTGTGTAGAGAATAAGCTCAATTTGAACATTAAGAAATGCGCGGCAATGTCTTTTTCACGTTCACGTCCTCATCACGCCGTCGAATATTATTTGCACAGCGCACATTGGAGCCAAGCGTGCTCAAAAATTCAATTAAAAAAATGTTTTTTTTTTTTGGAAAAATAAAAACGCAGGTTCCCATTAAATTCTACATTTGCGGGACAGTTTTCACCTTTCTATCGTTTTTCGGCTGGGAGATATGCGTGTCCAAACTTCACAAATTTGAACAAAAAACTTTTTTCTTTTCAAAACAGAAAAATTCCAATGTGCAATTCAAATTGTTACTGTAAGAAAGCGGTATTATATTTCGTTATTTTATGAATGAAGTTTATTTATTCTTTTGGTGTATTTTGTTTGAAATTATGTGTTTTAAAAAAATTATGTTTAAAAAAACTAAATCAACCTCTGCTTTTTGCAAGTATAATTTTCAAAATCACCTTTTTTTTAAATGCGCAACGCGCTTTTAAATTTGACAGTACTGCAATAAAGTATGTTCCTTCCTTATTAAGAATCCGAGTTCAAAACCAAATGCACTTTGCGCATTTTTAAATAAATTGCTTTTAAAAATATCACTTTGATTTTAATTAAACCCAAAAACATATACTACTGGTTAAGCTTGATTTTCTTTCATTTCGTACTTAAACTGTTTATTATTTTGAGGTTGGTCAAAGAATATAAAGCGGATTTAGTTCTAACAAGGACTTTAATTTAAATTTACTTGTACTAATGTGGACATAAATTTCGTTATGACCTCTGCATCCATAGCGAAATAAGTGTAATTTTTGGTTTATAAATTCAATTTGCAATTATGCAAATAATTGTGAGTGCGATTAGCAAATTTTTAAGTTAAATTTCACTTTTTAAAATAGAGTTCTCAAATAGACGGCGTTGACTTACCTTTTTTTTGTTTCCATGTGTTTATTGCTTTAATAAATGCAATTGTTATTTAAATGTGTTGTCAGGAATGTATTCCAAGTACCATAAAGTATTTTATAAACAAATAAAATTTTGACTTTCGTCCAGTTATATCTGCTATTCGAAACACTGTGCGTCAGGGTTGGTCACGCTGCACTAAATCGAGATTTTCACTACCACTAGGGCTTCAGTGATAATGCATTTCAAAATTTCACTACTACTATATGGTTAGTGGTAGTGCATTTCAAATTTCCTATCACTACATGGTTAGTGGTAGTACATTTCAATTTCACTACCACTATATGGTTAGTGATCATGAACCAATTAGAACAGATCTGACGTGTTGAGAAGCAGCCATTTGTAATAGCAATTGAGAAAAAAGTGTGTGGTTTATTTCAGTGATTTTTAAGCGATTTTCAATAATTTTTTGTACAAATGTAATTAAAATGAAGTGCGCGGTGATTGGATGCAAAATCACGTACAAAAATAATAAATTGGTTAGCACAAACATGTGCTACAATATTGCTTGCATTTTTTTCATTATGCTTCGTCTTCATATTCTTTGTTTACTTTACACAGAAAATAACATGGCGCTGAAATTACAAACGTCAGCCAGAAAATTACTTTTTTCTTTTGCTTCATCTTGTCAGATCTTGTGTAGGTGTGGTGTGAACCACTAGTACTACAAAGTGATAGTGAAATAGAATTATATTTTTGACACTTGCGAGAGAGTAACTTATTTTGACGATCTAATTACCGAAATAGCCCGGAAAGCGTGAAAACAAACAAACAAATAATTGCAACAACAATTTCAAGGAATAAGCAACAGTGTTGCCACTTGTTTCGAATATTTAAATAAATGAGATCTGAAACCCTACAAAACTGAAATGGCATTTAAATAACAATCTAAAATTAAGCTTATATACCATCTAAATATGCATCTGGAACTGGCTTTTTGTCTTTCGAATTGACAAGACTTTCGAAAGACTTTGGTGAGTTGAAAGACGGTTGCCAGACATGTTCTTAATAGTCTCAAGTTTAGTGACTTGAGATGAGACTGATTTTGACCAGCATTAATCTGACTTAAAATGTGTACTGAAAATATTACACTTTAGTAAAACGATATGTACGATAAGTATAAGTATGTATTTACGCATATTTAATGAGGTGCAAGCATGCAATACTGGGTGTAATATCTTAAAGTTACACATTTCCAAAGTTAGCATGTTTTGATGATTAACCTTAATGAACCGTAGTTATTGTCAAAATAAATAATATAAAAAAAACTTTTTAATATACAACGCTTTTATAAATGGACTAAAAAGTTGAAAATAATACTTCTCAGTCCCATAGAATTTGTTTTGATAACTTTTGATTTTGAAATTTTAGCAAAAGTCATTATAAACAATCTATGAAATTGAAAATGAAAAACGTGGAGCGCATGCAATACAAAGCATTCGATTTAATTGACAATAGTCAAACTACATAACGTAGACCTAAAATTTCTACAGCGAAAGTAGAACTTTGAAATCGATTTTAAGCGGTCGTTATTCATATACCCACATACATACATTCATATATTACTTTTCATATCAATTCAAGTGTATTACATGCGCCCCACGCTTTTCATTTTCAATTTCATAGATTGTTTATAATGACTTTTGCTAAAATTTCAAAATCAAAAGTTATCAAAACAAATTCTATGGGACTGAGAAGTATTATTTTCTACTTTTTAGTCCATTTATAAAAGCGTTGTATATTAAAAAGTTTTTTTTATATTATTTATTTTCTACTTTTTAGTCCTGTCTGAATAAAATTTTGCAATAGATATTAAAATAATTCAACGATATTAATAGAAAGGTGCACACACATGCATTTACATATGTATGTACATACAAACGAGCACCAATTAATTTTATTTAAAGAAATGGCGTGTCGTCTATTTCCGCCGATATGCGTGTATAAACCCTCCTCAAAGTCTAGCCAAAAAGCCAGCAACTCACACAACA